AATGAGAGGGTGTATGCACTCAAAAAAGAACATTAAGTCTTGTTTGCGAGGTGCACTGGGTGTGGCAGAGCACAATTAAAACTTTCTCTTTTTCTTCGCAGAATGCACTTTTTTCTGTTCATTGTCAGGCTGCATGTTTTTTTGTTAAAGGGGTCATATGATGCTATTTTAAAGATAATTATTTGGTGTATTTGGTGTAACAGAATATGTTGACATGCTTTAATGTTCAAAAAACACATTATTTTTTAAAATACTGTACATTATTGTAGGTCCTCTATGCCCCGCCTCACTCAAACACGTCGTTTTCAACAAAGCCCCCTCCTTTGACAAGCGCAGTTTGCTCTGATTGGCCAGCTGACCCAGTGCATTGTGATTGGCCGAACACCACAAGCACTCGTCGGAAATGTAACGCCTCTTACCATAATCGCGAGCTTCAGCTTTCAAAGTAAATATCAAGACAGTTAATAACGTTGTTAGTTTTACCATCAGTTCAAGCCCGAAAGGGCAACAGAGTTGCGTGACAGACACAGTGATTATGCAGTACACAAGCCGCGGTTAAGACAGCTGACATGCTATGATTTCTGACAGGCAGTTCACTCTCCTGTGATGTGACCCTGTTCCCCTCACACACACACGACACGTTACTCTGCACTGCGCAAAACTTCGCATTTGAACAGTCAATAGCAAATACTTGAACTAATAACAAAACATACTTACAGTCGCTGATTCAGAAGCGCAAGATTGTCATAGCAAAGGCGGAATTTTCCCTTTTTTTTTTTTTTTAGAAATAGCCTGTGTGCACACCCAGCCTTGTACTCTTCTAGGTTAAAAAAAAACTGTCGTCCATAAAATGCGTTGCACAAATTCGAACAGCTGGGTTGTGCTGTTCTGTTGTAAATAAATCTTAACCAATGATTCCTAATTGCATCTACTTCCGGAAGGCCAAATAAAGTGCTTTTGCTTTCGCACTGAAATACACAGCGTCTCCCTGACATGGCTGCATCAACACTACTGCTGTTCCTGAAACCACGCCTTCTTTCTTTGCGTGCACATTTGGGCGCATTATGCTAATATTTCCACATAGTGACGTATACATGTGGGGGCGTGTTAGAACGAGCCGTTTTAGGAGGGCGTGGTTGACTCTTAACTTTTATAAAGAATATCTCTTTGGATTTGAGACTTTAGTCTTTGCAACTTTACAGATCTTCTTTATGCACCAAGAGCTTGTAACACTTCAAAGAGAAAGGAAAACTTGAAATCGCATCATATGACCGCTTTAAGTTTGGAGTGTTCTTTTTCAAAACTGCTGTACACTGAGTACTTATTGAGTGTCAGTTTGCAGATTCACCTCGAGGCTGTTGTTCTTTCTCTGATCTTGCACACGTCCTCTTCACTCTGCCTGCAAGGATAAAACATGACAAGGCTGATGGTTTTTCAGTTTCAACTTCTAAAGCTTTCACGCTTATGCACATGTGTGCTGCTTTTCATGTGGGTACACACACAGAAATAAGTGAAAAGCAGATGAATACAGGCTGATTTACATATAGCTGGAATGAAAGTCCTGGAAAATCAAGGCAGGTGCATGGTCAAAATATCATAATTCATTATAAAAAAAATCCAGCAAACTTCAAGACTTACAGTATATAGCCATAAGTGGTCAGTAAGTTATATTAAATTGCATGGGATACTGTTTTGCATTGGGACATGCTTTTATTTTATAACTAATTGATTGCCCTTAGAAATCAAAGTAAAAAAAGAAAAACTTATTTTTAATAAATATAAAACAATAAATTAATGGTATTTAAATTTTGAAGACCCCCCCCCCAAAAAAAGCAAATGCATCTTGTAAAGTTTGAATCTT